TCTCAATATACTAAAATCCTACTATGCAAATTAGCTTCGAAACAACGAATGTGCTACTATGCAAATGAGGGGCAAGCACGTCTGCACACGGTCTCACCCACTCGACGCCTCTTCGAACGAGATCGGTTTCGAGGCCTCCTCGAAACGTCCCGCTTTTTCCTCCGTTCGATCCCGTCCGTCGACGTGAGTCTGCAGCTGGCCTTCGATTTTCGATTCGGTCCCGTCTTCCTGCCTGAACATCCTCGAAACAAACTTTTTCTAGGCGGAAGTTGCCTTGCTTGCGGACCTGATTGCCTCTCCGGAGAAAAGGTTACGTCGGGTCGTTAAGCGTGTTAGGCTTTGTCAGCGAGGTCGTTAACCGCCACCTCTTTGTGCGGAGAAGCAATTAAGTGCGGGATCCTCAAGTCTCTGCGAGCTTCGATTTCCTTTGCAAGAAAACCTTGCTGCGTCACAGCTCGGTTCTCCCTTCTTGATGGAAGTTTTGATTCGAGGTTTTTTTGGAATCGAAACAGCTCGCTTGCGACACCTTTCTCCCAAAAGCTCGAGACCGTACGAGCAAAAGTTATGATTGTCATGATTATCTCATTGTTGTTGCTTAAACTACTAGGCACTCTCATGATTATCATGGTCTTTTGGCGATGCGTTCCGATGACGTAGCGATTTGCATTGTTGCAGGGACAGTTTTTTTCCCGGTAACTGAAAAATTCCCTTTTATGGGGGATCGATTGATAAATGACCGTGCATTTTGTGTCACAACAGTCTCAACAGGACAAAACCATGATAAATTGACGCGAAGATCATTTTCCAGCCAGGTGCATTTTAGAGCACACGGTTGGAAAGAAAGGTTTGGAAAAAGAAGTCGACATGTTTCTCACAATGGACCCTTGATTTTGGACGCAATTTTCACTGTGAGTATTGTTTATTCTTTTCGCTTATGTTTCTGTACAGTGTCGAGAACACGATTTGAATACCTTTCCTAAATTGAATATTCATCAGGTTAGTGCGTTTGTTTTCGGGGTTATTTTCATCCCTTTTCGTTTATCTACGTTTCAAGATAGAGGTATTTTATATTTTATTATTTATCAATTTGTGCAACGAATTCTCAGCGAATTGTAATGACTAGATTCAGGAAATTCAAACTTTATAGGACAGTTTTGCCTGACGAGTTGCGAACGACGATCAAGCTACGCCCCCTTTGTGATGTGACCCCATTGTCTGCAAGGTCGTTATTGGGGAAACTTTTTGTGAGTGCGGGTCGTTAACGATCATTAGTGACGCACCGATTAGGAACCTTGATCTTCGATGTGGACATTTGATTTTGGTAAACTTGCTGCGTCACAGTTTTCATTTCGGTTATTCTTGGATTTTTGCAGGACATACCCGTGGCAGATTGACCAAAGTATTGTAAAAGATATTCTCATCCAGCTTCATCACACGGTAAGCGATTTTTGATATCAAAGATCTCTTCGTGTTTTACTTCGTTTATACTCAAATTTTGTTTGCCGTTTCTTAGATAAATATGCTGAATGAATTCTAAACGAAATGCCAAGTTTTCATTTAGGAAAATTAAATTTTTCAATAAAGTTTTTCATGTGTTGCGAAAGCCGGTGAAGTTACGTCCCCCTAATCCCTTCGCGATTGATTGATTGCATTCGCGATTTTGTTTTCGGGGTTATTTTCAGGCCCTTTTGTTTATCTACGTTTCAAGATAGAGGTATTTTATTATTTATCAATTTGTGCAACGAATTCTCAGCGAATTGTAACGCCTAGATTCAGGAAATTCAAACTTTATAGGACAGTTTTGCCTGACGAGTTGCGAACGACGATCAAGCTACGCCCCCTTTGTGATGTGACCCCATTGTCTGCAAGGTCGTTATTGGGGAAACTTTTCGTGAGTGCGGATCATTAGTGACGCATCGATTAGGAACCTTAATCTTCGATGTCGACATTTGATTTTGGTAAACTTGCTGCGTCACAGTTTTCATATCGGTTATTCTTGGATTTTTTGCAGGACATTCCCGTGGCAGATTGACCAAAGTATTGTAAAAGATATTCTCATCCAGCTTCATCACACGGTAAGCGATTTTTGATATCAAAGATCTCTTCGTGTTTTACTTCGTTTATACTCAAATTTTGTTTGCCGTTTCTTAGATAAATATGCTGAATGAATTCTAAACGAAATGCCAAGTGTTCATTTAAGAAAATTAAATTTTTCAATAAAGTTTTTCATGTGTTGCGAAAGCCGGTGAAGTTACGTCCCCCCAATCCCTTCGCGATTGATTGATTGCATTCGCGATTTTGTTTTCGGGGTTATTTTCAGGCCCTTTTGTTTATCTACGTTTCAAGATAGAGGTATTTTATTATTTATCAATTTGTGCAACGAATTCTCAGCGAATTGGAACGCCTAGATTCAGGAAATTCAAACTTTATAGGACAGTTTTGCCTGACGAGTTGCGAACGACGATCAAGCTACGCCCCCTTTGTGATGTGACCCCATTGTCTGCAAGGTCGTTATTGGGGAAACTTTTTGTGAGTGCGGATCGTTAACGATCATTAGTGACGCATCGATTAGGAATCTTGATCTTCGATGTCGACATTTGATTTTCGTAAACTTGCTGCGTCACAGTTTTCATTTCGGTTATTCTTGGATTTTTTGCAGGACATTCCCGTGGCAGATTGACCAAAGTATTGTAAACATATTCTCACCCAGCTTCATCACACGGTAAGCGATTTTTGATATAGAAGATCTCTTGGTGTTTTACTTTGTTTATACTCAAATTTTGTTTCGCGTTTCTTTATATAAATACGTTGAATGAATTCTTAACGAAAAGCCAAGTGTTTATTTAGAAAAATTAAATTTTTCAATGCAGTTTTTTGTCTGTTGCGAATGCCGGTGAAATTACGCCTCCTCCTAACCCTTGCGATTGATTGATTGCTTTCGCGATATTTTCTACAAATTTTTGCTGCCCCTTTTTGTTTAAATATTCATGCTACACCCTTAGTGACAAGATTTAGTAGAGTTTTTGTAAACTTCATGTTGCCCTCATCGTGGTATAGAAATTTAATAACTTTTTCAATACATTTTTCCATCTATTGCAAATGCCGGTGAAGTTACGCCTCCCCTAACCCCTCACAGTTGATTGATTGCTTTTGCGATATTTTCATGGATTGGAAGGAAGCTGCCCCTTTTTGTCAAAATAATCATTCTGCTCCTTTTTTGTACGTGTTTTTCTACCGCTTTTAGACCAATTTTACAACT